TACATGTATGCAAGTACACCTAGCACCTACTCGAGATTAATTCATTGCAACGGTGTCGTTAAAAGCCATATGATACAATTAAAGGTGCGGACCTGCAATCGCTTGCTCATGTTACTGCTGAAGGAAAGGGCCTCCACAAAAAAAAGGGAGCTCTCGAAAGCACATCAAGTGAATGATTTTGTCTTACTCCATGCTGGTCAGGCATCTTCGAAGAGGAGGGGGTACCCACACTTTACCCCACCACACAGGCATCAAGGCGACCTACCGATCGGCAAACCGCGGTGCGCCCATTTGAACTGTTGGGTGGACAGACGCGAGGAGGGCGGGGGGGGTTAATAAACGTGCATCGTCGTGGCAACTGCCACTCCTGAACGTCTGCGACCTGTGGATTGCAAGTGCGGTGTGCTAAGGGGCCGTCCAATAAATGACGTCACGCGATTTTGGACGATTTTTTTAACCCCCCCTACCCCTCGTCACACGGCGTCACAAAAAGTCAGACCCCCCCCACCCCCCTCAAATATGACGTCACAAAGCTCTGCCCCCCTCCCCCCCCAAAAAAAATATATGTATATAAAACATGCTTCAAATCGCTTTAAACTATTGTCATTGTAGTGCGTATTTAATGTGACGCTGCACTCTGATGTAGGAGAAAACATTTATTAAAAAAAGTCTATTTAATTAAGTAGAACGTTTTGATTTAAAGCTTTCGTGACTGCAGGGATTCATATTCTTGGTTCTTTCGGTAAAGTCACGTTGAAGGGAAACAATTTTATTGTTTTATATTTTTATTGTTTTATTGTTTCCCTTCTACGTGACTTTACCGAAAGAACCAAGAATATATATAAGTAGAACGTGTTGTTTTTTTTATTTAAAGTTGCGCATTTTGATGTGACGTCACATTTCTCAAACCCCCTCCCCTCGTCACAAATGTCTGACCCCCTCCCCCCCCAGGTGCGTGACGTCATTTATGGACGGGCCCTAACCAAAACACCCGAGCAGCATCACAAATCCATGTGTGTTGGTGCTAATGCACAGCTGAAACGCGTTTAAAACCTGCGCCTACATGCACTATGCAGCACCATTAATGTCATGGCACGTCGTGTGAAGAATGTTGTCAGCATTCCTTAAGAGCGTGGTTGTGGAGTGGCGATCCACATGTGTGGAACCTGTTACGCACGTGATCACGAGATCGGGTGTGTAAGCGGCCTTCATATTTGTTCAATGAAAACACGGTCAACTTATTTGCATACGCCAATTGCACACTGCAGTAATAATGACGAGTACATTCGATGTCTCCATGAATACTAATCGACACAAGTTTGTTTTAGTTGATGTTGTTTAAATGTGTGAGACCTTACGAGATATAAATTCTGTGGTCGTGACTGTAGATTGTTGCGCAGCCTAATTGTGTGGGTTTTTTTTTTCTTTCAGATTGAGCAACAACGTGTTGCACTCAATGAACTCAACTGCAAAATCAAAATGCATAATCATAATTAATTTTCTACCTACTGCTGAATGAATGTCTCACCAGGTAATCGCCATCCCTCAAACGTCTTGTGATGCAACAATCCATCTAGCTCCTGCACACAGCCGATCTCATCACTTCAACTCCACAGTTGGCATCTCCATCATCAACATTGACAACTGGCTATCCACCTTTCCAGCATTGTGTCACGGCTCTGCCCAGTTACTCTTTTTCCAAGTCAACATGATGTCGAACTTGAAATTGTTCTCGGATCCATGTCTTCATCCGTTTGTCTGTCAATTTTACTCCAACCATGCACCTTTACATGTATCATTGCATACCTTGCAGCTTATTTGATTTGTAAGTCTCCGTTTTTCGCACCCATGTCGTCGTAGACAATATGCATTTATTGAAAGCGTACTTCTTTAGGCACATTGGTATGTTCCTTTCATAATCAAGTTCAGTTTTACAAAAGCACTCCAAGCTTCTTTCGCTTGCCTCTTTATATATAAAAAAGTGCTATGAAGGGCCATTGCCCAAAACGTCTATTACAAAGATGTAATTTTAACGCTGTGTTATTGACGAACGTGTTGAGCGTTTTATCATTTGTACTTGTGCACCACTGCCAATGCAGCAGAAGCGTCACCAAACAATTCGTTTCTTTAATTACTTTGAGCTTGGTCCACCTTCTACAATTGACGCCGATATACAGACGTTTATTCTAGATTTGAAGTTTTCGTAACTGCAAGGATCCATGCTCTTTGGTTCTTTCGGTAAAGTCACGTAGGTGAAAAAATAAAAATAAATAAATTTAATCACGACTTTTCTTGACCACTTTAGCAATTTGTTTTCTTGCTGTGGTTGTCCCACCTGATGACGGGCGCTTGTGTTGCGCCCGAAACGTCACGTGATTAAATTGATTTTTTTTTTATTTTTTTATTTTTTCACCTACGTGACTTTACCGAAATAACCAAAGAGTACAGACGTTTATCTTGAGCCACAATTCATATGCCCTGAACTTATTTTACTTTTCCGTGTCATTAAATGTATTTCCACTGCTGTCGCTTTGCACGCTTAACGCTGGGCCGATTCAATGCAGTAAATTACCAATTTCGAAAGGTATTTTTTTTGTGCAGTCATCAGTGACTGATCTGTAATCGCCAACCGTGTGGTACATGAGAAGCCCTTTAGTGCCACAGGGAATTACCAGACATTTGAGACTGGGATCTTAAAGGTGCTCGGCTCAGTACTCTAAGAAGATAATTAACTCAGAACCACAATGCGAAATCGAGTTAATCTACGGCACTGTAGTCAACCCTTTGTTATCCAATGTCATAGGGCACATACATAAGTGTACAACTTCATGCGGTCCAAAATGGTAATCACATTAAAAATTTATATTTTAAAATAGGAATTAATGTGTATGTTTGAAAAAAAGAATGTGAAGTGCTCAATGAGAGCATAATAAATACCATATGACTGCAACAGTATACAGCAAATATCAGCGGGTAATTGATAAGATTTGACATCTCTTCTGAGCAATCAAAACTGTTTTGCATCAGCCTTTCTTTCAATGGAAAGAAACTAATATTTCATCCTGTAATCATTACAATAAGATATTCCCTTAGCAGATTTGGAATGTATCCAGAAACACAGACTCTGGAACAAGAAACCAACATTTATCTTTTTCCTGCTGAGTTAATTTTCGTGAAAATATAAATATATATAGAGTATGGCACACAGAAAAAAACTGCAATGTAGCAGCATATGCGCGTTTAATGTTGTCATTGTTTATTTTGTAAAAAATGAGCAAAAAACAACCTCAAAATATAAGATTTTGCACAGAGGAGGGTTTTTAATGACAAGCAAGTCCTAAAGTAAACATGAGAATTACTATAAAATATATATACACATACAATTAATTGTACATGTACAACTATTTAATCGACCTACTATTGGAAGAGGATCATCCCACACCATTTAGGTCGAGGAGGTTAATTGACCACACTTCACCATGCTGGTCAGTGCTGGGTGGTGAAGTCGGGGAGAATAGACGATGGAGCATAGTATAGTACAACAATGCGCTTTGCTGCACTGCACTGCTGGCAACTTAGCCCATGTGGCCATAATTAACATTTCAGCAATACGACTCAATAATAGAGGTTTTTTTGGGTTAGATATATAAATGTGTCATTAAAACCCGCCACCACCAAACACAGCCAACTAGTAAGGGTTGTCACGTAAACAGAACGTGCCAATTCGTCACCAGTACAGCACAGTTTTGGAGAGCCAAGCCACAACATTTACAACCTGAGTACGACGTTTCGCCAGTAATTACAACAAGCTTCATCAGGCGACAGCCAGATTTGTAGCGAAGTCTTACTGTTTCGTTCTTTATATAGAGGCGTAGATGTGGTGACCACGCTTCTGCGCTCTTGCACAAAGTTGGAGGGGGGGGGATTACTGAGTCAACGTACATTATGCTTGTGCATTATGCAAGCCCTTTGATCTTGTCCTTCCTGTCTATTGTGTGCATTAAAATAGCCGTACCGACGGTAATCCCTGTTGAAGTACGCTGCCCTTTATAGGCACGAACTCTGCCCAATATTCAATTGCACGTGGAGGAATATGACCGTGATTTTTTGGGAGGGAAATCTAATACACCGTATCAAGCTCTTCATTGTTTCCATGATTACATTTTATTTTTAGATTTATGAAATATTCCAATGTACATTTAAAAAAACAGTTCTGACTATATACATTGACACTGACATTATACTGTAACTAGCATAAACAAAATCTGAATTGGTCAACGTTACTTGTCTGAGTCTGTAGGACGCATTGCCATCTCGCCGTCTCAACTCGCCTCTACTCTGCCATCTGCTGTAGGTTTTGTGCAAATTAATTTTAAATCTTGACTTAAAGCTTTCGTGACTGCAGGAATTAATATTCTTGGGTCTCGTAGATAGGCTCGAAGAAAATAACTAAAAATAACGATATTTTATTTTCTTTGAACCTATCTACGTGACTCTACCGAAAGACTCAAGGATACAAATTAATTTTGTTCCTTCAACGTTTTCTCAACTTGTCATTGACAACTAACCCAGGATTTGCTGCCACCTTCTGATTATTTCAGGAGTCTGCTTATTTCTAACGTTTGAAACATTTCATTAAAACAAGAATCACCCCCAATGTATATTCGGGTTGTTTGAACACATTACAAAAACATTTGTGTATGTAGTTAAGCTCTGTAAAAATAATTGGGACTGCACTTTAAATACGAACATTTTTAGTTGAATATGAGCAAAATTCAGAGAAGAGCATCAACAATTTAACATGTTTCTAACAATAGTTAAAATATTCAGAAATTCTCGAACACTGAACCCACCAAAGCTCTTTTTAAGATGTTTTTCAGAACATAAAAAAGTCTGTACAGGATGACAAATTGGCCTAGATTTCTGCATCAGTTGGAATAACGAGGTGGCCATTAAAGATAATGTGCACATCCTCATTATCGCTAAAAATGGCGTTTTCCCGGTCCTTTTTGTACAGACGCACCCAGACTTCATCCTTGGCGCGCAGCTCCAGCATGATGCTCTGGCTCTGCATGATGCTGCGGTCTGCCGACTGCGCGTAAAGGATGGCCTTCTCATCCTCGTTCTTCATGAGGTGCAGGTAGGTCTCCTTGAGGTTCCAGGTGTGCACGTTGAGGTTGAAAGTGTAGATGCCGGGCACCGAACAGCGGAAGCGACCGCGGAACATGTCAAAGTCCCCCTTGCTGCTCCTGCTGGCTTTGTTGACGAACACGAGGTCGAAGAGCAGATTCTGCCCTCCGTCATCGCTGTGCATTGCTTTGCGTCGCCCAACGGAGAAAGCGGAGAAGGGGTTCTTGCCCGACTGACCTGACGATCCCTTCAAGCCCTTGTCTCCCTTTCCACCAGCTGGACCTATCGGTCCTGCCTTGCCCTCCTTGCCGGCCAGTCCTTGTTTGCCACGCTCGCCCACTTCTCCTTTATCCCCTGCACGCAAAGTTGAATGATGCCAAGGAAGTGTTTTTTTTACATTTACACAGGAGTCAACATGTAAATGCAGTCGACAAACTTGGTATCACAGAATACACATTGCAAGGGAATGCTTGACCAGATGGCACGACTGGAGTTTCAATTATTATTATTATTATTAGACTTGGACAATTGAAGTATAAATGCTTTTGATCTTTGTTTCTATCTCGGTTTACAGAACTGCTCATTGTGTTCAGTTTGTTGTCCTTCCCCTGCACCTCTGATTAGCACGGTTGGCTACGTATGGTTTGAAAGACGTTGAACATGTATGCATATACCGTATATTCCTTTCCGTTAATAGTTTGCCTTTGTTAAAGGTTGGTTTACAAATGTAATAGTGTTTATGCCATTTAAAATTTATTTTTCAATGCTGTGCACCTGATTTTTACTCTTACATTGCCCTATAACCCAGTTTTCCATTTAAAAGGAGACTTGTAATCTGAATGGGCTCTTATCTGGGTAAAATAAAGAAAGAAAAAAGACAAATTATTGTGTCATCTTCACAAAAATTACTGTCATTGTAGTTACACATTTGTGTTTATTGGACTCCATTGTACATCAACTATAGAGTACCACGTAACATTAAGAATTGATCACGCTATACATGCACCTATGATCACCAAACCTTCAAAATATAAGTTTTGGAACTCGATGGTTGTCAGCAGAAGACAGTGCAGCAAAACGTAATTGTTGTATTCTACTTTTATGCCCCCACATTTATGCTACCTACTTTCACCAACTCACACTGAAACATGTGATAAAGTATGGTCAAAGAACCTTCATGACCTGCACAACAAAGGGAGGGCCCTCGTCCAATAGTGAAAAAGGGATGTGCATGCAAATATAGGAATGGAATGCACAATCCCACTGCGGACACTACACGCTCGCTTACCCTCTTGTCGTCTAGGCCAGGAGTTCTCAACCGGGAGGTCTGTGGCTATCATTATGGAGCCAACAAAGGTCAGTGGTTCATATGGGTCAGCGCTTGTGGACCCGTGAAAGGCTAAGTGGCTGGCATTAGGTGGTCCGTGACATTTTCAGACCACCTCCACAAGCTCTGCAGTCATGAAAAGGTTGAGCAGCCCTGATCTGAACTCTTACGTGCCCTAGAGAAGACCTCTCTCGTTGCAACGAATCGTTTATTTAAGCGTGGAAACATACATCGGTATGGTATTACACTATTGAATAATGGTAACAACAGCTGTACTCACTTTGTCAAGTGAAACCTAAAACTCACAAAAAATAATGCTGCTATTCGTAGAGCTATATTTTCCGACACTCTGCACGTGCTCGTGACCTGCACTACTATACATTTTACACAAGGTTTAGTTTCCCACTCAATATTTTCAGGAACGCTGCTATAGGCTGGCTAGGAGCAGGGACGTCTATCTATAATAATCCGATATGATTGTATCATCATTATTGTACCCTGTATTCCTAAGTACTGTCCTTAAACACATCTGCTAACCCTGAGCACGTAATTTGCCCACCATTCCCCATGGTCACCGCAGTATCGTGAGAACAAAATAAGGATGAGATGGATGTGTCGAGCATTTGGAACTGTTCCAGCTGAAGCACCGCTACTGCATAAGATGGGAGCCTAAAGGGGTAATGCCAGCAAGACACGTTCACGTAAAGTAGATCAAAAGAGTCACAATTAAACACACGGAGCAAGGCAATGTCAGCAAGAATTAAGAGAGTGATTCATAGTTTATTGGAAAATTAAATTGAACAGCGGAGTAATGATTCAATGAACCGTGGAAAATCTGAGTTGTGATTTTTTATTTCAGAATTAATTATTTGTTGAACATCGTGGTCATGGATCGGCAACCTGCGGCTCCGTAGTCGCATGGGGCTCTTTAAGAGCCTGCTTCGTGACGTAATTTGTGAAGGAGCGTCTCGTATTCACGTGTATTGCGGCTCTTGAAAAATAGTTTTTTTTTCTCACCGAATAAAAAAAAGTGGCTCTTCTTGTTATTATGATTGCTGAGCCCTGATCATGGTGAATGGTCACCGCCTCTAGTGGCTCCAAGGTAATGTAAACCGATTGCATATAATATACAGTATACGAATAGAAAATAATAACGCCTGCACACGTAATTCAATGCATGCACCATGAGCATAACGACTACTACTATTCATAGGTGATTCAATGCTTTGTTCGGCCTCTTACTATATATGTACAGATCTTATGTCCATCCAATGCTGGATGAGGGCCTCCCCATGCTGTGCGGGCTGTGGTGGATTTCAAATATTACACCACACCAGTCAGAGCAGGTTGGTGAATTTGGGGATCGACAACTTTTCACCCTCGCCAATCTACACACAAGATATAAATGTTCCCACTTTGAAGCGTACAACCTTCGCTTAATTACCACAATGTAATGTGCAGCCCTCGGGAAAAATAATGGGGAAAAAGTAAGACGCAAAGACAGGCCCCACCTTGGAGCAGATCGCGGCTCTGTGCGCTGATAATCGGAGTGGGCGAGTGCCAGGGGCTGCCATGGGCGTCGCGTTGTTCTCCGGGGCAGCATCGCGTGCAGCTCTCCCCGTCTGCCCCGGCGCTCTCCTCGCCTGCTCCCTCCGCCGATTCGTCTGGAGCCAGCCCAAACGAACGAGCGGGCAGCAACACGACGAAGGCAAGGACAAGTGCAGCCTCGTGGACCAGCATGTCCTACTGGGAACGCAGGAGGCAACGGACGACAACCGAAAGGGCCCCGACTGTGAGCAATCGACGTCCCATGTTAATGAGACACGTAACCAGGATGCATGGCGACCGGCTTTCAAGGGATGAATGATAGAGGGAACACTCCAAACGTGCTCGGGGAAGAAGGCCATGATCTGGCTGGATGTCAAACACGGTTGACTACGTATGGTGGAAAAGAAGTTCAACATACATACATGCATACAATCATGGATGAAAGCTGTCTCAGTTGAAAGACGAAGCAACGGACAGAGAGAAGTGGCGAAACCACTACAAGGAGCTATCGGTGAAGGTAACGGTCATATGCCAATAGGCAAAAAGATCAAAGGACTAGAAAAAAACTGATAATGATCAGGGATGAAGGTTTCCCCAAGCCCTCACCATCTCTTACTGTCTTGCAATTCAACAGTCCATCTACAGTGAGGGAAAAAGTATTTGATCCCCTGCTGATTTTGTACGTTTGACCACTGACAAAGAAATGATCGGTCTATAATTTTAAAGGTAGGTTTATTTGAACAGTGAGAGACAGAATAACAACAACAAAATCCAGCTGAGATTAGGAGCACACTCTTAAAGGGAGTGCTCCTAATCTCAGCTTGTTACCTGTATAAAAGACACCTGGCCACAGAAGCAATCAATCAATCAATCAGATTCCAAACTCTCCACCATGGCCAAGACCAAAGAGCTCTCCAAGGATGTCAGGAACAAGATTGTAGACCTACACAAGGCTGGAATGGGCTACAAGACCATTGCCAAGCAGCTTGGTGAGGTGACAACAGTTGGTGCGATTATTCGCAAATGGAAGAAACAAAAAATAACTGTCAATCTCCCTCGGCCTGGGGCTCCATGCAAGATCTCACCTCATGGAGTTGCAATGATCATGAGAACGGTGAGGAATCAGCCCAGAACTACACGGGAGGATCTTGTCAATGATCTCAAGGCAGCTGGGACCATAGTCACCAAGAAAACAATTGGTAGCACACTACGCCGTGAAGGACTGAAATCCTGCAGCGCCCGCAAGGTCCCCCTGCTCAAGAAAGCACATATACATGCCCGTCTGAAGTTTGCCAATGAACATCTGAATGATTCAGAGGACAACTGGGTGAAAGTGTTGTGGTCAGATGAGACCAAAATGGAGCTCTTTGGTATCAACTTGCCGTGTTTGGAGGAGGAATGCTGCCTATGACCCCAAGAACACCATCCCCACTGTCAAATATGAAGGTGGAAACATTATGCTTTAGGGGTGTTTTTCTGCTAAGGGAACAGGACAACTTCACCGCATCAAAGGGACGATGGACGGGGCCATGTGCCGTCAAATCTTGGGTGAGAACCTCCTTCCCTCAGCCAGGGCATTGAAAATGGGTCATGGATGGGTATTCCAGCATGATAATGACCCAAAACACACGGCCAAGGCAACAAAGGAGTGGCTCAAGAAGAAGCACATTAAGGTCCTGGAGTGGCCTAGCCAGTCTCCAGACCTTAATCCCATAGAAAATCTGTGGAGGGAGCTGAAAGTTCGAGTTGCCAAACGTCAGCCTCGAAACCTTAATGACTTGGAGAAGATCTGCAAAGAGGAGTGGGACAAAATTCCTCCTGAGATGTGTGCAAACCTAGTGGCCAACTACAAGAAACGTCTGACCTCTTGATTGCCAACAAGGGTTTTGCCACCAAGTACTAAGTCATGTTTTGCAGAGGGGTCAAATACTTATTTCCCTCATTAAAATGCAAATCAATTTATAACATTTTTGACATGCGTTTTTTTCTGGATTTTGTTGTTGTTATTCTGTCTCTCACTGTTCAAATAAACCTACCATTAAAATTATAGACTGATCATTTCTTTGTCAGTGAGCAAACGTACAAACTCAGCAGGGGATCAAATACTTTTTTCCCTCACTGCAACTCTTTCACAC